AGATGCTGCGGGCAGAGCTGCGCACCGGGGTGACAGAGGTGGAGCCAGAAGAGAGAGGAGCTGCAGGAAGGAGCAGGGGAGATGACAGCACAGAGCTGCGGGGCGTTGTACAGAAAACACCCAGCACACGAACACCAGTAACTATTTAATTCATGTTAGCGTCCCGCTCTGACACACAGCCAGAATTACACCTTGGCCAAGAATTGTATAAAGTGGCATTTTATACAGAAAAACAAAATCATCCATTATTCCCCACAGATGGAAACCCCCAACAGCTGATGTACGCACACCGACGGGCCAGATCTGATCAACACCCACGAGCCAGAGCGACAAAACCCTTATACCCGAAGTACAAAAATGCAAACTTGCTCTCCAAACACCCAGCCCTGTGGCATTCTTCACAGGCTGAAACTAAAAATTCATTTTTCCTTTTATTTCCTCTTCTCTCCAGAATGAAATGCAGAGAATGAAATGGGGGAAGCCTTCGGGGAAAGACACGCGATGGTAACTTGAACATCATCTTCAGCTATTCATAATTTAGAGAGTCATCCATACACAGAGCAAAGAAAAATTAATCGAAAATAAATTATTCATCCCCCTTCGGGAATACCAAGTCTCTGCAGAGCCGCGCTCACCCTCCCGGCTGTTGCATTTGGTAATGCATGAACCACCCTGCGCCGGCGCCTCGAAGTGATCTGTCCTTGGGGAACGGCTGCTCGTGACCCCAACGTGCTTTCGGCCACCGTTCCTTCTTCTGTCACCCAGCGTGCAATCGGGAAACAAAATAAATGCAGCAATAGTTTCAGATGTGTAAGAGTGAAGCGATGGGAAACCGCTGTCCGTTACTGCTGCTCCACGGTTGGGAGGGCAGGAGTCCTGCAAGGGGCATCACCACTACAGGGGTCTGCAGCTGAGCAGCCACACAGGGCCTGGAGAACCCCAAAAATACACCCCGAAGAGTTGGTGTTGGCATCCCTGTTAGCGCTCACCTCGCTGCAGCGGCAGATTGGCCTGAGCAGCATTAGGAAACCTGACCAGAGAGGATTTCATCTCTGCAAATGTATTCTTTCTGCTCGAATCCTGCGATCAGCTCCTGCCCGTTCAAGCACGGGCTCACCCATCAGCTGTGCAAAAACAGGATGGGATTTTACCAACCGGGCACCAAATCTGCCCCCCTGCAGCCTTGGGCTGAGGAGAGGAAGGGGCGCAGCCTGTGAGCAGAGGGTCGGTGCTGAAGCAGGGACAGGCAGATGCAGCGTGAGCCCGGGCTCTGCCTCACTCAGGGATTTCTCATTCACCTCCTCCCGCCTCAGGCCCAGCGAAGCTCCGCGTTTGGGTGGACAGAGCTCATTTTTCTGGAATGTGCCTGCTCCCCCTTCCCAATTCCTCGTGAGCAGCCCCTCGGAAATACAGTCCTAAAGCCCAGACTTGCCGAGGTGGGGAGCGTGGCCCTCCCAAGGTGGCATCTGACAGCGCAACAGCTCCTCACCTGCCAGACTGCTACAGGACATCTTTCTCCCGCACATATAAAGTGAAGCTGGAGTTAAAATAAAGCAGGCACGACTGGTCGATCTGCCCCTAAACCCACATGGGATTCAAGCATTTGTAGGTGGGCATATGCCCTCAAAGTTCCCCAAAAAGGGTACAGAGGAGTTTGGGAAGAAATCCAGCGTTGCTAACAATGAGGTGGTGTCTCCGCACACTGAGACTCCTTGGGGAAGAGCTCACACAACACAGAGCGCAGACCTCCACCAACCCCAACCCTGCTCTGCGCTGGCTTTGTGGCTGGGAGACAGCAGGAGCTGTCCCCCAGGGCAAAGAAGCCCACACGATCCAAAGTACTTCACCTCTGGTTCTCCCCTTCTCTTCACTGGTGCATGCTGAAGCTCAGAGGAGGAGGAGGAGGAGAGGAAGGCCCTCAAAGTCTGAGGCTGGCGTAAGTGTCCAGCCCTGGGAAGAGGCCCAGGCTCCTTGTTAAAGCCAACATTTCCAGCATCTCTCCTTACTCGGGGCATGCTGCCTGGCACAGGGAGAGGGGCTGGTGCTGTCTGATGCTCGCTTCATGAATGGCCCTTTGTGGAGAGTGGGCGAGATGCAGATCGAGAACTCCCATTGGGGACAGCGGGCGAGCCCAGCACACGCCAGAGAAAGAACAAGCAGCTGGAGATGGGCTCTGCAGATGTCTTGTCTGGCCTTTAAGCTGTAACAGCGACCGAGGCTGCCAGCTTGTTGGCAGGAGGTTTGCCAGGGTGCAGAAGGCATAATTCAGCCCTTCCCTCCTGGTCTGAAAAGGATTTGCCCTTGTTGTTTTCCTGGTGGTTTATGCACCCTGTCCTGGGAGCAGAGGAGCAATCTGCTTTGAGGTTCTCTCCTGGGGATCTCAGTAATTCAGTGGAGCCGCAGATGCCTGGATGCCGTTAAAGGGTTGGGGTTTTTTTGGTGGTGATGGTTTGGGGTTGCTTCAACCCCTTGCAATAAATAAAGAAACAGGAACAGCTCTGCAACAGGGAGTGAGGAGTGACACTGAACTCTCAGGCAAAATCCTCAGCCAGGCTGAAGGCTGGGACACCAAGTGAATCTCAGCCAGATGTTCTCCAAATCCACCCCAACCATTTGTACAACTGCTGACTTCCAAATACCTCTGTTTTGTCCAGCCATGTCCTGGGTTTCATCCTTGCTAAGCTGTCTAAGGGCAAACACCTTGGTCAGAATGGAGATGCAGCGCTGCGGCGTACAATGGTTAAGAGATCAGAGGGAGTGAGAGGACACGGATATTCCAGCAGCATACTGTAAATCCTAAATGTGACGAGCTTTGCTCCCAGTCACTGCAGCCGGTCCTGAGCAACAGCTTCCTTCTGTTCCCTTAGAGTCTTTTTTTGATGAGTTTCTCCAGTTTCCGTATCCGAGAGGACTCCTGCTCGGGTGTGGGAGCACTCAGAGAGAGGGAGCCGGTGTTCTCTGCTCCGGAGGGGGGAGAAGGGAGGCGCAGGCGGAAGAGGTCCAGCATGCTGCTCTGCTCGCTCCTCTTCAGGCCCTGCGACAGCAAACAACAGAGCAGCAAGTGGTCAGACACCATCGATCTGGGACCGGGTTTGCGTGAGAGGAGCTGCAGGAGAGCACTTCAAACCTCAACCTTCTGCTACCCACCAGGAGTTGGATGGAGACCTCGGGATGAGCCCAGCACAACTGAGCTCACCCCCCACCGAGCCATAGCAGCTACAAGCATGCCAAGTGAACTGCAAAGCTACTCTATGCACTTTCAGAGTACAGAGGATACACTTGCCTTAGAATACGCTTTTCCCATTCCCAAACCCATCTGTATTCCTACTGAAAAAATCAACGGTCTCAATGCTAGTGGACAACCAGAAATTCTGTGGGACTGGTTCTAACCTTCATGTCCAGTATCTTCTGGAAAGTGTCAGTGCTGCAGTCAGAAAGGAGCTTGATGTAGTTGTCGACAAACACAACCGGAGGCTCGTGCGGAGCCATAACCACCTGCCAAGACAAGGGAAAAAGAGATCAGAGAACTTCTGCAAGTTAAAGCCAGATAAAGTCCACTCAGGCAGGACTTAGGGGGACTCCTAGAAAGTCCTCAGCAGATCAGACAGCCTGGATGCAGTCCAGACCCTCCCTTCGCCTGTGCGTCCCTCAGGGTCTCGCCTGCCTGGAGGCAGAGCAGAAACAGCTTTTGTCGCAAGGGGACCTGACGAGGCTCTGCAGTCACCCCCGTCCCCAGGACAGTGTGGGTCAGAGCAATCCACTTTGTGGTGCTCCTGCTTCCGAGTGGGATGCAGCGTGCGGATACCACGCTGCCATCCGCCCCGGAGCTCACACCCGCTTAGACCCAGCAATGGTCAAGTCAGGAAAAGAAAATTACAATAGCCTTGAAGCTGGAAAGATGATTACTTCTTGTTCTATCTTCCTTACATATTCAGTGAGCTCCACACACATCTTTTGATAAGGCAGAGCAGCAAACACATCTTTCTGGGGAAGTGTGTGCGTGCGTGTGTGTGTGTGTGATCATGTGCCTGCACGCAGGGCTGAAACAACCCAGGATCAGACTCTTCCCTGTCTCTGAAAACATTTCCATATGTTTCCATTGACCCAGCTCACCCCATACTGCATTCTGTCACCGAGACGTTTCTTTCTTTCCCTGCACTTCAGACCAATGAAACATCATAGCCATGTATACACTTATAACTCCTTAATTTACAGTCCTTGTAAAAATCTTCTGCCAAGATGAAAAACTGGAACTTCAGACAGCACAGCCAGAGGAGAAAGGAAACAGCTCTGTGGGACCCCAACATCCTCTTCCCTGCTTGCATCTGCACTTTGTAGGGCTCAGCTGAAGGATTTTGTCCATGCCATTCACGGGACCAATGATGCTCCTACCAACTTAGCTGCACTGATAGAAGCCTGGGCACACTACTGTACGGTGGTATTGTTGTATGCAACAGAGGCATCACTTCTGAACCATCTCAGCAGGAGGTAAGAGAGACCTGAAAACACCCAGGAGGAGCGTATGGGCCTGTGCTTCTGATGGGGGGAAATAATTTGTAGGGA